TTTATAGTGTCAACTAATTTTGAACAATTCTTTGTAATGATGAAACCATTTTATTATATTAAATAAAGAAAAATACTAATGAAATTTAAATCATTGAAACTATTACCGTAGTAGATAAGTACCAAAACTTTAGTCTTTAAGTAAAAATGCAAAATATGAGTTCTGGTCTTGTTTTAATCCAAATGGTGATGGTTATATTTGTTTTAAATTTCCTCATAACTTTCATCTTTTACTTGGAGACAAACATTTGAAAACACATTCCAATATCAAAATTCTAAGAGTATTTTTATCTAAAGCCGGAGAACGGTAGAAAATCAGTTGAGAGCAATTATCATATATTTTTGTGTGACTAAAACACTTGTTTGAATAAACTTGATATCATTTTGCAACTTTTTAACACTTAACCTAAAAGTAAAGGACCCTTTGAGAAAGGAGCAAAAGATAAGGGGTCAATATTTGACCGTTGAAAAGCTGAAAACAATCTTAACACTATATGGAACAGGGGAGAAATTGAATCATGTAGCTAACTTCCTAACTATACAAGATTAGCTAAAGTAAGCTAGAAATTAAAACCTTTCAAAAATCCGCACAGACATATTTTATAAAAACAGGAAGCCAAACATAGTTATTTTAAATATAATACTGATTTGCTTACCAAAAAATGTCTTTTGGCTAGATGGCATGGGGCGTACTAGCATGTTTGCAGCATGGGGATCACAGTGCACAAATCCATGTTTGAACATCATCTCAGCAAAGACCTCACTAACCTGCACAAGGTGATATAAGCATTTTATTATTTAATATGGAGTACATAATATAGAAAAAAAAGTGTGGTGGGTTTACTGAGCAAAACTTCACAATTTCGACAAAAAACATTTAAGATACTCGACAAGAAAAACATAATCTAAGAAAAAAGTTGATAGATGATCATGGCATACCCAACCAAGAGGGTGTGGTATCCACCGATATATTTATGTAACATAGACAATAGTGAAAATATCAGTATGCTTAAAAGCGGAAGACCAATAAGTTTGCAATACATTTAACCAAGCCTCCATAATCACATGCATTTTAAACTATGTTCCAAAACTTACTAATTTTGCAACATCCATTGGCCGAATTCCAATAGATTGAATGACCTTCACATCATTCACTTGTGCAGCATCCATAAATTCCATGGTTAACAACTTTGAGGTACTTAGAGTCCAATATACCCTGGGGGCATAAACATAATTTGCAATATGAGGAGATAGCTTCCGAAAGTTATCCATACATTTTACGCTGTTTTTAGCCTCAACCAAGAAATCTAGTTCCTGATAAACACCACTAAAGATTGTCAACATTTCCATCAAAAACTATGTAATAGCAGTGCTGATAATCTGAACGAAATCTGTAGAAAGGAGTATAGTTTACCTTAGGTATACTTTCATGGACTTCATCAACCAACCACCTATATAAAATCAGGGAAATTGGTCAGATGTAGGTGCAATGAGGGTATATATTATTAGGAATCTTCCCAGTTTCTTTTGCAGCTAAGCTTTCTTTTTTAGCTATTAATATATTTATGGAACATGAGAAGGGTGAAAATCAAACATAAATATGAAACAATTGCATAAGTCTTCTCATGTTCTCATTACTCATATGGTGACAAGAAAAGGTTTCAATCCACCAATTTTCTGGAATGAGTTTCACAAAGAATATTCCTCTTCAAACCTGTAATCAAAATTGGGGAAAAACCGATGCAATGTGTTCACAATTAACGCCACAGTTGCATAATCAGCAGCAGCAGTGTCTGTCATGTGCGTATGTTGAACCTGCAGTTCATGAATTAAGAGATTAAAAATAAAAAAAAATTCCGGAATACTTGCTAATGAAACCTCTAGAGTGCAGTGCAACATTTTTTAAACCTTCACAGCAACTTTTTCCCCATCATGTGTGCGGGCAACATGAACTTGAGCAAGAGAAGCGCTTGCAATTGGGACCGGATCAAACTCCTTAAATATCTATATCAAAATGAAATTAGTTCAAGAAATCCATGCATGAAGAATATCTTGACACTTTTATTGAAAGCATCACAGTTCACTGTTCACATGTCATTTAGTAATATCATTTTGAAGAGAAGTTAATGAATGTATACTTCATCTGGTCTTCCTCCAAGTTCTTTCCTGACAACTTCACATACTTGATCATAAGATGATTGAGGACATCTGTTTAGCATGGAATCCCTCATTATGCGAACATATTCATCAGGTACTAAGTACTCCTGAAAAATACATAGATATAATTTAGATCCATTAACATAAAAATTATGTTGGCTAATATACCTTATATACGCAATCACAAGTTGATTGAGATTCTGTGTATGTCATCATAAAATGAAGCACAACCACAATCCAATCCAACTTTGTATTTACCTAAAAAGGGAGGAGTAGCATACCAGCTGACCAAGATGCTGACCAAGTTTTATATATATTCCTCCATTTTTAAAACAAAGTTCTTCAAGTCTGCGTGCACTTCTCAAATGAACTTCATGCTTGACTTTTTGTCTTTCTGCACTACCTTCGGGTAGTCCCCAGAGTGAATACTCATAATCTGATAGCAGGCCAAGAGTTTTAACTTCAATGTAAACCGAGATTTGATCTTTAAGATAAGGTTTAACCCCAACAACATAGTTTTCGAATGATGATAAAAAAAATATGTAAAAAAACGAAATTGAAGATTTAGCTTTTGTGATGAAATTGAACTCCGAAACTATAGTTGTCTAATGACGATATAGAAGCACAAGAACCATTCGAGCTGCTGTCTAATTATGGTTCTTATGGAGCTACATTGCAACAAATCTTCTTTTTATGCAGCATTGCTTCTATGATCTTAGGAGCAAACATGAACAAATCTTTCCTCTTGAGAAGGAATTGACCTTTTGAAACAAAATGGTCTTCGGAGCTCAGAGCACCATTCTAATTTCCTTCTGTATTCCATGATGAAAAATTAAGCATAACCGTAATTATATTGTTAAAATAGTAAAATCCTAAACACGAAACCAGCTTCAATTGTCCTTAATCGCTTCATTCAGTCAGGAATTTCCCGAGTCCTTTTTTATATTAGGCCGTTTCAATGTATACCTAAGAATCGTTGCAATTAGGGAAACAAGATGGTTCAGAGAAAAGTTCTGAAATCCGAACTTACCTAGAGCTATGGCAGCCGCGGTGACGGAATCGCGAAAGAGGCGACGCGGGACAGTGGCGCAAAGCCTGAGTGCGGTGGCAGGGTCGTCGGAATTGGCAATAGCCGCGGCAGCAGCTCCGCCACCCAGGACGGTGGATCCAAACAACAGCTTCTTCTGTGCGCGCCAGAGAAACCGCGCAGCCATGACCTCCTTCCCAAGTCAGAGGTTGAAAGTGGGCCGCGCCGGCGAATTTATATCCTGCTGAATTAGGCGCGTCTTATTACTGTGCTTTATTACCGTGGTATGATCTAAGATACGTACCATTATTTTTTAAAAAAATTAATTCCGTGCGGTAAATTTGAAACTTTTACAATCCAACCAAATCAAGAAGACGAGTTAAAAGTTAAAATTAGACTACGGGGTATGTGTTATACAGATTAAAAGAAATGTGACAAAAAGTGTTGGGTGAGTAATAAGTAAAATGTGAATTATTTTGATTAAATAAATCAAGTTTATGTTCACTTTTTATTGATTAAAAATTTAAAAAAAAGATTAGCATTTGGCCGTGAAGGCCACCGTGAATAAGGGGGCAATGCCCCGTCATGCGGGTGGCATAAGATAAGAGGACGTGAGACATATCCAGTCATGAGATATTTCATTAAATCAAAAGTGAAAAAGTTAATAAGAAACTAAGATGACATGAAAATTATTTACGAGATCAGACATAAAAACAGTTTCTTTAATCACGAGGTAAGCAAGATGATTTGCAGATCTCTTAACAAAATTAAAGGTCAAGCTATGAAAGCGTAACACAACTTCCTTAATATCAGAAATAATGAAACTAAAAAGAAATTAAACGGTTCAGACTTAAGAGCAAATAACCTATTGTGCATCAATCTCAATATCAACATTGTCAAAATCCAGCTCCTTATACCAACTCATAGCTTCCCTAATGCTCATAGCATCTGCCTCATTGGGCTGAAATTTGTTAGACCACGTGTTGCTTTAGCCGCAACGAACTTACCCAAGCAATCACGAAGGATACAACCAAACCCCATATGAGAATCACCAAGAGGGAGGAATGCACTAGTGTTCAATTTGAATCACTTGGCGTATAGTCTCGTCGTTGCCCACTTTCTGACAGTGTCTTTACAAGCAACACTCCGTCAGTTACTAAGAAAAGAAACACACGCTTTAATGGTTTGAGGAGCTAGGGTCTCCATGTCTCGCTAGCAAATGTTATTCATGTTATTCCAAGTACTCCAAGAGGGATTGATTCATTTAGAACACTTTACCTATTATACTCTTATGAGGTTGAGGGTAATTCCTACCTTCTAACTCTCCAAAAGTCCTTCCTTTTTACACTCCACCACAGCTCCCTCTTCCCTCCTATTTGTTGTTTGGAAGCAGTAAAATTGTTATGAATTGACGAATAAAAGGTAGTACCTGACAAATAACAAAAATAGAGAACAAAGAAATTCTTGTACAAGAAAAAAGTACTCCAATTAACATTTCGAACCTAACAGAACACCGTAAAAGCATAGTATCATAACATGATAGTAAAACTGAAATGTTTAAAGAATCGTGGTGTTTTAGTATATACTCAAGGTAAAACATGTTTTAAACTATGTTCTCTACATCTCATCTAAATGATTCTGATATGTCGTTCTAATGTGATTGTAGTTTAATATACTCTATAAAAGTTTTTTGTTTTAATACTAATAAAAAATAATATTGTAAGTAGAACAAATAAAGTCAAGAGAACACAATCTTAGTCCTAATTAAGTTTTTTTTTCTCATCATAAGATTAACAAAAAATGCAACAAAAAAAGCTAAAACTATAATAGCTTAATTGTATATTTTAGTATTTTTGTAGTATTTCATTTTTTATGCAAAATATAAAGGCTGACATAAATTTAAATGCCTCAAAAATAAATGCTCATTCACAGAACATTTTCACAAATTACAGTATCCAGCTTTTTGTTAAAGCTACTCCTAAACCTAGACTCCAGATTTCATACTCCAATCAAAATTTAGGCAAAAAAGAGACCCTACAACTCTATAATATGTCTTCTTCTTCTTCTTCTTCTTCTTCTTATTCTTCTTTGGAAATTTAAAAACAGATAATTCTCCTATAAGATGTTGTTGGTCCATGAAGAAGATGATGAAACCCCATGGAAACAGCCAGTCATTTCCCACTAGCAATAGAGCTCCATAACTTGCACAGGTTGCCCATTCCTGCAGAATTAACAAACATTTGCAGATAAGTTAAATTTATTTTCACACAAGACTATTATATTTACTTGAGTTCGGATATCGAGGTTTGAGAGATATTAGAACCCTTTTGATGATGTTTGATGAAAAAGCCTAAACATGGTTTGGATTTGATATTTTACCTGCCATGGCTTCTTTTTTTTTTGCCAAGAACTAAACCATGCACGAATAATGGCTCCATGGGCAGGAAAGCAGACCATATAATCTGTGTTTTTAGGTGGCCTACACAAAACCCAGTAACATTGTGTTTTTAGCTTGGCTCCATGCCCATACTAGGATGTAGGGTATGTTTGGGAGTTCATTTTTTATGGTTTCGGAGGGGAAGAGTTAATTTTTTTTAATTCTAAGAGTATAAATTTAGTACTCCGTAGATAATTATATTCGTTTTTAAAACTTACCAACTGAAAGAAAATTGTCTTAAATGTGAAATAACTCCTCTCCACCCACCAACCAACCACGCATCCCCCAAAAACCATTTTAAAACTCAACTCCCAAACATAGCCTAATACATGCAAAAACTTACTTCTTTTGAGCATATATACGGTGCCAATCAGACCATGACGAACCAAAAACAGAAGCTGTTGGAACAAACAGTCTGCAATTAGCATTTACATCTTTGTGCTCGTTGGAAAAATAAAGCCAAACGAGGCTTTATTTGAATATTTTGGATTTACTTACAGTGTAAGACTGACATAAGAAGAGACCAATATAAACAAAGTCATGCAGAAGTGCCTGTTTATACGATGAAGACCAAGTTAAATATTGAATTAACAAAAACCAAAAAAAATCAAGTCAATAAGTTCAAAAAGAAAAAGGGTTGTTAGGAGCCATTGAATTTTGTTTATTTTTTGGTGCTTTTACAAGTTGTAAACGTACCTAAACGTTAAGGGCATGTTTGGTTTGAGTAAATGAGAGGAAAAATACGAGCTTTCCTAAGAATATTTACCACTATGGAGTGTGATACGCCGTTACGCGAACGCGACAAGACCACTAAAGAGGCCGGAAAGGTATAGTAATAGTAGTAATAATAGGAAGAACCAGAAACCAAAGGGCCGGAAAGAACTAAGGCCGAAGGTCGTTCGAAATCAGTCTCTGAGAGGGTCGTTGAGTCGTTGTGGACGACGGTATCGGAGTCGGAAGACTTTCAACGGAAATGTCCCTCGCTCAAAGTGATTAGATAGCCACATATAAGTGGACAGCACTTGGTGTCTGGTCTCTAGATCCAACAGCTCGGAATCATTTCGGGCAGAGGTTTTGGGCATCCCCATTGATATATTCACAGGCAGGCTTTGGGCGTACGAAGACGCAAACCTTAACAAGTGGTACATTGCTTTTGGGTCTCGGATGTTGACCGGAGCAAAACAGAAGTTGAAACGGTCTTCTAGGGACAATCCGGAGACTTTCTCCAACATATTTGCTATTCTCTTTATGTGGCTATGGTTGCACAAGAAATACAAACTGTCTAAACGGCAATTCCCTCCAAATTTTTCAAGAAGTTCCGGGAAGGTGGAGTTTGGAAGCTGCCCGGCAAACAGTTCGACCTGTTCAAAGAATGGAAATAGCCCGACTTTCTTGACTTCATCAAATGGTTTTTTCAAACACTCAATCAAATACTCCAAATCATCCAATTGCAGAGTGGTGGTTAGTCCTTCTGGAAACCGGCTCCCCCTCCGGCCCGCTCTCCCCGCAATCTGCTTGACCTGTGATGCCGGGACAGGGACGATTTTGTCCCCGTTATATTTTGAAAGACTGTAAAAAACAACCCTTCTGATATTCAGATTCAATCCCATCCCCACTGCATCACTAGCCACCAGAACATCGTATTCGTTCTCTGGGTCATTAAACAATGCCGCCTGATGCCGCCTGGTTTCAGGCGGCAAAGCTCCGTAAATAACACAACAACGGTGTTCCGTGAGCTTCTCAATTGCCAGTTTGACTTCAAATATCTCTCTTCGTGAAAAAGCAACAACACAATCTCCAGATCTCACGTTTTTCAAATCGCCCATGAGAGTCTTTGCTTCAACCACTAATGGCTTGAACCGGTCGTAATTTTTCTCCACCAAATCATCTCCAGTCTCGCGACATATTTTCCTAACAATGCTCAAAACACTCGGATCGCCGCATAAATGTATCTCATCGGCCTTTACCCCAAGCAAAGCCCGTGTCCAGGCATATCCCCTACAAGGATCAGACATCATTTGAATCTCATCAATAACAGCCACATCATATAACTCATCTGTAGAAACCATCTCAACCGTACAAGCGACATGATTAGAGAAGGGTACAGATTTCTTCTCTTGTCCGGTCATAAGGCTACAGTAAACCCCTAAAGAGTTAACCTTGTCAAAAACCTCCATGGCTAACAACCTCAGTGGACTACAATATATTCCCTTCTTTGCTTCCATGAATCTCTGCAATGCATTGTACGTTTTTCCGCTGTTGGTGGGCCCACAGTGATATATGATCTTGCGTTTCATTGCCCTGGCGAAAGGGAACCAAGTGTGTGGTTTTGTTAGATCTGCTGACTCGATCATTGACCTAAATCTTTTGATTTCATCTGGGAATTCCTCAAAGCAGAATTCAACAAAAATTGGGAACAAGAATTTCTCGGACTCATGGGAAGGGCCAAGGGATACTAAATACTTGACAAGGTCAGTGTTAGAGTTCATGAAGAAGAATTTACTGAACTTAATAACTGCAGTGGGGAAAAATGAAGCCCCAATATAAATAGCCAATGCTTGATTTGATGCCCATCCGGATTTAGCAAAGCTCCTGAAAATCTCATTACAAGCATCCCAATCTGCTCTAGTTTTCTTGATGCTCTTCTTAGAACCCCTTAGCTCTCCATAAATCTCTACCGGATCACGACCCGAAAAATCAAGTAAATTCTCAGACACACTTTTCAAGCTGTCAGCTTCCAAATAACAAGGTTCATCACCCATGGATTCCATTGAAGTTGAACAAGACCCGCCATTTTCAACCTTGGTCGAATACGGGTACCCACCAGAACATAAAGCTCCAAACTTTGTGAAATGTGGGGAATGGGTCCGAAAGAACAGAGGCGGGTGAAGCAACCCGGGCTTGCCGGAGGGGTAATCTTGGAATTTAATTGGTTCTGGGAATTGGGCACGGTGGCAGCGGGTTGAGGATGAGAGGAATCTGAACCTATGTGAGCTTTTCCATGATGACGACGATGAACACAGATAAAAGAAGAGTCTTTTCACAGGGCCTCTTGCCATCTAAATTTCACCAAAAGAAATTTTTGAAAAAAATTACAGATTGTATCTCATTTGTGGATAATTTGAACAAGATATAATTTCTGTTTGATAATATTTAAGCCACAGCCGCGAAGAGATACCTCGACAATCTCTGAAGACAGGGAGCAATTTAAGCAGCCGCAGCGAATGTGAAGATGGGGACGGTAAGGGATTGAAGAACTTTACAAGCAGAAGATGGCCGGCCTTCAATGGCGAAAGCCACGAACCCCAGAAACAAAACTGAACCCTAGCTCTGAAATATTAAATCCAGCCCAACCTTCCAGGGGTGAACGAAGGCAAATTCATGTTTTTTTAGGTCTTTTTACTCTCTTTTCTTTTTCAGTCCCACGTTCGAGCCGTTCGTAGGGGAGAACGAAGCATGGATGGCGGTTAGGGTTTCGGTCTGGCAGAAGCTTCGCACCCGCCCATCCAGTAATTCCATTTTTTTATTAGAGTTGATATGATTGAATTTGATCTGATTAAATTATATATAATTTAATTAAATTTAAATTTGATTTTAATTAAACTTAAAATTATTATACTAAATTTAGGATCTGTTTGATACGCGGAATTAGAATTGAATTCTATAGAATTGAATTGGATGGAATTCCAAATCCTTTGTTTGGTGTAATTAAAGAATTGATATAGAATTGGATTGTAATTCCAAATCCTTTGTTTGGTAACATAAAATTATATATACAATTGATATGAAATTGTTTTATGATCCCAACCACTTTACCAGATGTCGCCACCCTCACCCATGGAGAATTGCGAGATGTCTGCGAGGGTCACTCATGGAGATCGAAGATGAGTGAGATGAGAGAGCCGAGAGAGAAAGCGAGAAAGAGCGCAGGGAGTGGGAATTTAGATCTGTGTAAAATTAGATCTAAAATTAAGACCCGACCTGAGAAAGATCCGCGTGTTTTTATTTGACCTGTGGAATTCACTCCAATTCTTTTACCCTGGTATGGAATTTAAAATGCAGAATTGAAAATTTTGGAATTAGAATTGAATTCCAATTTTATAAATTTTTTTGATACCAAAAATCAGAATTGGAATTAAAGTCTCCAATTCCAATTCCGTGGCTTGAATTCCGCGTACCAAACGGACCCTTAATAATTTTAAGTATTACAATTCATATTATTAATACATCCAAACATTTTCTTTGAAATGTTTAAATAAATTTTCAATATCATTACTTTTTAAAAATAGTGAAGATAGTGTATTATTACTCGATATTATAACATTTTTAAGTTTAAAAATGAGTCTTTATAAGTATAAACTTGTCTATGGTTTTAAAAATTAAGCTTTGAATAATTCTTTTATGAATAAATATTTTTCTATAAACAAGTATTCTAAAAAAGTTTCTTCAAATACAAAAAATATACTCTCTCCGTCCCCCTGTATTTGTCCACTTTCATTTTTGCACATCATCCAATGCACTTCTTTAATCCATTTTATCTTGTAATTTGTATATTAAAAAATTATAAAAATTATATATTAATAATCTATATGTTAAGACAAATCAAACAAGATCACACATTACTATATTTAGGCTTACACATTGAGAGAATTTGATGAGTCAAAATGTTTAGATAAATAGTTCCAAAAGTCAAATGTGGACAAATACAGGGGGACGGAGGGAGTAACTTTTTAAGTGCTAACATTACTTCCATGTATCATACCCTACAAGCTAAGCAAATACTAGTAATAATGGTTTGTAGTTGATATAATAATAATAACAATACTTCATCCATCCTATGGTTTTATAAAGTAGTAGTAGTAATAATAATAATAATAATAAAAGTTATAACATTAATTAATATTTACGAGTAGGAAATATCCGATTACCCGGTAATCCGGATAGCCGAAAATCCGATTACCGTCCGGATCCGTATCCGTTTAAAGAGGAAATATTCGCATCCGTTTTAAACGGATATTATCCGTATCCGATTAAGGATATCCGATTACTAAACGGATACGGATTTGGTAAATGCATATCCGATCCGTTTAAAATCTGATCCGAATATGCATCCGTTTAAATATCCGTTTATCCGAATATCTGATCTGTTATATATAGTTTTTCCTAATTTTTTATGTTTATATTTTGTTTCTCTATTGATATTTCAATGTATAAGACATTTTTATATATTCCCTCCGTCCCATTTTATGTCTGTTTTGATTTACGATGTTTGACTAAAATTATTTTCAAATAATTTTATATGATAAATGGTATATAGTTTAAAAATAAAAATTACATATTAAAATACTACTTCAAAAGATCTACAAAACTAGTAGTGACAATAGTACTTTATTTTATCAATTTGCTAACGAAAATTGAGAAAGAAAGTGAATGAAGTTTGACCATGTGAATAGTGAACAAGCATTATAATTTGGAACGGAGGGAGTATAAAATAAATGTGTAGACACAAAAAATATATGCAGACATATAAAAATATGTGTATATGTGTGTTGTGTATATCTCTTTATCATATAAAGTTATCATAGAATATCATAAATAATGAAAACAAAGAAAATAGTTATCCCATAACAAATTATATTTGATTTAATAGTAGTTTGAATTTAATCTAATTTAAAATTAAAGTATTGTTTAATTTGATATTAAAAATTAGAAACGGATACGGATATATCCGATATCCGACCGATATCCGACGGATGCAGATATGATGTTGATTTTCAGTATCCGTCAAAATCCGTATCCGAATTCGAGATCCGAAAAAAATAAACGGATACGGATTTGGTAATGGCACATCCGATCCGATTAATATCCGTTTACACCCCTATGTGTAGCTTTAAATAAAGTAATGTAATTTAAACGGATAGTAATTATTATTTAATCCTTGAAAAATATTAATATCATTTTTATTATTTTTTGTCATCATCTATTATGATAAGATTTGATTTTGTCTAATCAGATTTAGTCTCTGATTGGATCTCGTCTGATCTTATTAGACTTGATCTGATATGATTAGATCTAATCTGATTTTAATAAGAACAAATAATAAGGAGAAAAATTAAATCTGGCAGAATTAACCCTAAAACCGATGTTATTAGTAATAATACGGAATTTTTTAAAAAAATATTTAAGAATCATCTCAACTTTACTTAAATTTGTGAGTTTTGGGTCGCCGTTAAACAATTAATAATTGGTTAGCAGAGCTCTATTTTATGCAACAAAATAAAAGTGGAGATTTTTTTATGAATTTTTTATTCTTGTTTTTTTATTTATATTTTTCTGAAATTGTCTATTAAATTGCTAAAATGATTTTCTTCCTCTATTTCTTTAATTTTTTAAGATTAGTCTTATATCACAAAATAAAATAAAAAACAAAATAAAGGAAGAAAAAAGAAAAAGATGCAAATATTCTCATATTGAAAAGGAGAAATGGATCCATAAAGTATATAGATAAAATTATTTTTGGATAAATTCCCTCGGAATGATAAAAATATACTCCGGTAATGTTTAATATTTATTGAACATTTTCAAAGAACTTCATTTTTTAATTATTATGAGAAGAAAAATTAAAGTGATTTTAAAAAATTAATGTTTAAAATTTACTCACTAAAGTCACCTAATTAAAAATAATATTTCATTAATAAGATATTCCTTTCGTTCTTTAGATAGAATGAAATAATGATTAAACAATATTATGCACATTACTTTTTTTAGACTAAACAATCATTTAAATAAGCCAAAAAAATAAATAAACTAAATTATTAACAAGAAAAATAACTAAAAAAAAGTATAAAAAGACAAACGTGGATAAAAAAGAGTCATCTTAGTGCCTATTTGAAAGGTCTTATATTATAAATTTGGATGAAAAGTGTTTTTGTTATCCGTTTTATATACATTTACATGTAAAACATTTCTAACTTCGAATTTGTTTTAAAAAAAATAGTAATAGTAATAACAACAACAATAATAACGATGGAGTTCTAGTGACACTCACGCTTTGTGACACTAGTGGTGTCGCTGTCATTTTTGTGTACTTCTGGTGTTCTATTCGTAAAATTGACGGGTACTACTTCCCAACCCACCCCCACCCTACCCTCTCCCCTGCACCCCCACCCCAACCCCGCCGTAAGCCCCTCGCAAAATGTGTGGCTATTATGAAATTCCTAATAGCCACACATTTTGTGGGGGTACGACGGGGTTGGGTGGGGGTGCATGGGCGAAGTTGGGGCAGGGGTCTAGAGGGTGAGTTATGGGAGATTGGAATCGTCAATTTTACGAACGGAGCACCGGAAGTGCTCTGAAATGACAGTGGCACCAGGGTGTCAACGTACTCCGGTGTCACTAGAATCTCACGGTGGAACCGTCAATACATGATCAATAATAATAACATGGAGGGGTTCTACATCCACTTACTTTGGGTGGCTACGGATGTCACTAGCTTTAATTGGATTACCTATGATGCTCTGTTCATAAAATTGATGATTCTTAATTTCTATATTCCGGTAAATCCTCCCACCTGGATCTAGTGGCTTTAGAACAATTCTCATAATAGTAATATTGTTATTATTACTATTATTATGAAAAGAACACACAAATAATTTTTAAATCATTTTTGAAAGGAATGAGGAAATGTTAGATGAAACTATAACAAGTAGAAGAAATGTGAAAAAACCAGAAAAAATTAGAATGATTAAATTGAGAGAAACTAGAAAGTGTTAGAAGAAACTAAAAACAGTTGGAAAGCAAAAGAAAAAGTTAGAAAATTTTGTGAAGTAAAGGGTGCATTTGGATGTAGGAAAATATGTGTCTAGATATTTGTCACCCCCACGTATTTTATTGAAATATTGTTGATATTTGAACGAAAAATAAAGATATTTGAGATAATTTTAAGAGTAAATTTCCAAAATGATCCTTTGTAATAAGGTGTTTTCCCAATTCAGTCATAAATAAGTTTTAATTACCTACGTGGTCCTCTATAATTGAGATTTATTTCCAAGATAGTCTTTCGTAAATAATGTTACATAAATGATGCTTAATTGGGAGATATTTTGGTATTTTGGTCATCCAAATTTAAAGTATATTCTCGAAATAGTCATTTCTGTACAACTAAATGTAAAATTTAAAAAATACATTGATTAGAAAAAATACACAAATTTTATTAGAAAAAAACTATTTTAAATTTCAAATCAAATACACAAATTTAATTAGAAAAAAACTATTTTGGAAAAGCACTTCATTATAAATGATCATTTTAAGAATTAATTCTAAATTTAGAGGATAAAAAATACCAAAATACCCTCAATTAATCCTCATTTGAGTAATATTATTTACAAAGGACTATGTTGGGAATAAATCTCAATTATAGAGAATCAAAAAA